GACGAAGGTAGGGATCCGAGTACAGTCGACCCCGCTTTAAAGACACACCACGTTTCCCCCCCCAAAAAGTGTCTTTCACGCGGGGAAGTGTCTTTAAAATTCGGGGGCCACTAACGCACCATCCCCGGGGCCAATGAAGGCGAAACATATGTCAAAAGGGGCGCATTCGCAGCAGAAAGGCGACCACAAGAGGTCTTGTTTGAAACCTACGACACAAGGTGATTTGAAGGTCGCGAACACTGCTGCTATTGTGCTGCAATACATACTTGCATACCATCGTTTGAATTTCCCCGTGCTGTACCACCAAAACGCTGAAAGCGATGGTGTTCTACGACCTACGCATCGTACATGTACACGACGGTAGTGCGCTGGTGTTAACATGGGCTTGATTGTTTGCGTTATTTTATTTTTTAGGCGTTGTCCTCCCCGTGAATATCTTGCCCAAGATCTCGCTACCGCACCTGGAAATAAATATCGAAGGTTGTAAAACGACACTAGGAAAATGTAGGTTACGCAGAAACACAGGGACCAAAAATGGCGGGAAAGCACAGCGACAAAGAAGACTCCGATGCCCCGACCACAAAACGCGTGCATGGGTCGCCCGAACGGACACTGATGAACCAGTGACACCAGTGCAGATTTGAACTGGCACGTCNAAATAAATATCGAAGGTTGTAAAACGACACTAGGAAAATGTAGGTTACGCAGAAACACAGGGACCAAAAATGGCGGGAAAGCACAGCGACAAAGAAGACTCCGATGCCCCGACCACAAAACGCGTGCATGGGTCGCCCGAACGGACACTGATGAACCAGTGACACCAGTGCAGATTTGAACTGGCACGTCGGTTCGCCGCATGGCTTCAAGCCGGCAGCAGACGAACCGCTAGTAGATGGAATGAATCTTTCCATACCCCCACATGCAGTGTGCGGCTGCAGCAGAGCGCTGTTGATGATCCAGGATCTACAGGTGCTGCAGCACATTTTCTGGGGGGGGTCGAATGGTGGAAAACCCTACTCCTCCTACATTTTCACATCTGCGGGGCACCATGTTTTTGAGATTTTTGTATCCTTAAAGCGGGGAGTGTCTTTAAAACTGGTGACTTTAAAGCGGGGACGACTGTACAAACAAACGCGCAAGCACCAAGCAAGGCCAAACACGTTGCGTACCAAGCCAGCAAAATGCGTGAACAAGGAATTTACTCAGCGGAAAAGTAAACGAAGTCCGAAGGCAAACAAATGCTACGTTTCTTAAGTGTCTAAACGGTGAAGGGAATAGCATCCAAACAATAAGGTTGCTATCCAGCATTTGGTTGGGTCACATGCTGGCGAGGAAATGTCAAGTTAACCGGTCTCAAGTGGAATTGAGGGTCGCAACTCGATGACAATAATCATGAGTCACGAAAACAGTCTTTAAGAAGACTGTCTTAAACTGTATGCCTACCGTACTCAATAAGCAACACGATTGCTTACACCCAGCGGCATGGTTACGCGAACCAGAACCCGCACAAAGCACAAATTCTTGATACGTGAACAAGAATAAGTTTGACACATCATTGATTGACATCAATACCTGGTAGCTTGTACGAGCCTGGAGATTACATCCGTACGGTGTTGTTTCCAACACGTGTGCATTCCACACGGCACTGTCAGCTGTCTTCGGATAGTGAGGGAGAGATTTATTTTTCGAAAAGCTGTATCTGGATCCAATGATACATCCATATCTGCTCCACTACAAGAAACATGCAAATATGCATGTGCGCCAAAACCCAACTTCAACAAGCTGAGCTTTCGGCGAAGAAAGAGGGGGGCTATGTGGAGGTCAGGATGTGGAGATTCAGGGAGCACAGATACACGTACACGTACATGAAGAGTAGGATCTGAGGAAATATGTGATAATAGATTATTGTTCTCCGAGGGTCCACAACTCTTGTGATTCCCAACGGCTGCGAAGAGTTGATGGAGCTTAGGAGAATCGGAAAATGGGTCCACGATGGCTCGCCCACTGTCCGCATCACCCTAGCTTGACCGAGTTCGCTCGGTCTCGCTTGGCATTTCCCGCTACATTGCACCAAAGGAAATAGCCAACCTCCGGTGGCACGACAAAGCCACCACAACCCCGGACTCTCCGCTCACCCAGAGTAGAGGGCTCCATAGTTCCCACCCTTTCCTTCTGCCGGTTTGGGAGTTGTTGACGTGCTGGCATCCATCTAGCATGCGCTACATCTGCCTCGCCCATCCATTACCGTTCGCAGCCACAGCTTGAACGAATTATTACCATCGTAGGTGATAGGTTCGAGGTCGTCATCCACGTCGTCCTAGTAAATGGTTCCATCGCCAGGGTTTTTCGGTGTCTCAAGTCCCGGTGTGAAACCCAGTCCCATCTCCAACACGCATGTCTCCCCCTCTTGGGAGAGGGTTTGAAGCGTACCACCGCGCGGCGTCGTCGCTGCAAGCAAACAGCAGTTGTTTCACTGTCAGCTGCGACGAGGTTTCCACGCTGAGGGAACCGTTGTGCGTCTGAAACTCTACTTAGAGGTTCAGTAACACACCACTGTTGAAGAATTGAAAGTAAAAAGTTGCGAAATATTGCCGTATTCGAAGACAATTAATCGTATGGATCGTTCAAAAACAAGGGTCCCACGGAAACTGGCATCACGAAGTTTGCTTCTTCATTCTTGCCCATGACATTCACAACTGTAGGGCTTTCGGCGTGCCAAGTCCCGATGTGCACCGCATCCCGAGTCAGGCCTAAAACACGTTCCGCTGTGTCTCAACCTACGAGACAATTTTGCGCTCTCTTTCTTGACCATGACATACCATGACATACCATGACATACATAGCCCCAGAGGTTTCTTCGTCCGATGTCCCTGTGTGACACCGAGTCTTCACTACCACACACGCCTTTATCACCCTACTGCATGGTTGCATCGGGTCAAGAGTATGACAGCACGGGGCGTCGTCGCCAAGGATCTTTGTCACTGTCGGCTTTGACGTGGCTCCCTTGTGGAAGGAAGCGATATGCATCTGAAATCAAACACTGTGCATTTTTAGTAACGCGATACTGTCGAAGAAGTGAAGATACTGTGTAGCAAACGTGGCAATCCAGTGTGAAACAGTGCCGATCGGTAAACAAAAAAGGAGGGCTCCACGGTGGCGGGACTGTCACATTTGTCCTTATTAACATCATCGCAGAGGTCGGCATTCTTTCGAGAAATACCGTACACTTACTGAAACAGGTGAGGATAACAACACATTCCAAGCTACCCTGAGGTCTCGCTCAATCGCCTTTCTCCGAAACGTATTCACCGTCCGAAGGAGTAGCCCGACCCGAACCCTCTTGCGGCCGTTCCTCTGCGGCGTGTGGCGTTTCCGTCGCTGCCACTCTCGACCACGCTCGGTGAAAGACTTGCGGCTTTCCAACCGCCCCCCCTGATGCTTTGCTTGTGGTGCTTTGCTTGTGGACCCTGATGGCTGCGCGTCTCCCTCAGCCCCTCATGAGTGTCAGTGAGGCTACTCCTTGCGGGCAGAGCGCCGACGTCATACAGATATGCCAACTCTTTCAGCCTCTCTTGAACATGTTTCCTCCTCATCTGCATTCTACCTTCCTTGGCCCCATTTTGTCAACCGCACCGTTTCCCTTTTTGCTCCCTCGTTGTTCTCCCATTACCCTCCATTTTTGGGTCCCTTGGTTTCCCGCTTGTCTCTCCCATATTCTCTACTCATTTCCTGCTCGATCGTTCTGTTGCACCTCATTCCGAAGGGTAGCCCCCCGTGCGACCCCCTCCACCAACCTCCCGGCCTTTGCGCTGCACCCCAGAGTGCTTGCCCCTTTCATGCGCGCCCAGGCACGAATCTGCATCCTCGCGCTCGATACCACAAGCATCTACTGTAACCCATTATTGTTTGTTTTCTTCACTCTCCATCGTGGTTCTTCCGCAGCCGCGGTCGCCTTCCGCAACATCGCCATTCCGGCTTTCATCTGGTTTAGAAAGTATGTCGCTCAACAACGGATGGATCCACACTCCATGTCACGCAAGACGGCAGTTCATCTGTCGGGAAAGGTGTGCCCGCGAGCCCACCTCGTCGACCGGTTGTCTGCGTGTGGAAAGCGACATCGTATTCCTGCACGAGAAGCCTGTGGGCTCGCTCATCTTCCGTTGGCATGTCGACTCCTCTTCCGCAGCAGCTGAAGCGGCCACAAACACCGACGGAGTCCATAAGCAGGATCCACCCCCATTGGAGATGTCTTGGAAAGCGTTTCGCCCGACGTCACAAAGAAGCAGTATATTTGCGACACCGCGGAGGAGGTGGTACCATGACATCGTGTTGGGCCGTATTTCAGCAACCAAATCTTCGTTTTGGCCAACCGAGGGCTTTTGTGGGGCAGCTGGAAAATGTGCAAACAAAGTGCCGTAAATAAGCTTGTTTGCGACACCGCGGAGGTGGTATCGGGACATGCGTTCGTGGGCTTGTGCGACAGCTGAGAGCCGTGGGAACACAGTCAATGTGCTTTCGAATAATGTTTTGCGGTGTCGAAAAAAACGTTTCACGACATCGGTGTCGTCAATATCTGCATAGAATACCGCACAACCATTTGTAGCCAGCGATTGTCTCTAGCGTAAACCCCTTTGTTCTATTCTCCACCGCACCTACCTGTCTGTTTCTTCACCGAACATATCCCCCAGGTAGGTGATCTTTCCATAGCAAACTCAGCCAGCCAATCCGTCCGCGGGTTCCCGCCACAAAAACACAGCTTTAGACAGGCATCCGACGATACTCGTCGCGTTGTCGAATGAAAGACCCCCGTCTAAATCCTGTGTTTTCTGTTGCGACCATGTTATAATGTACATGTTAGGTTGAGCCTGCTAGTTAGTCAATCACCGCGTTCATTCTGCCCATGTTTCGGCGCGGAACTGAAAGACCTGTTGGAACGTAAGGAGATAGAGAGGAAGGCCAATGAGTTGGACAAGAGGGCGGAGCAGAGGAAAAGAAGGAAGATGGAGAGGGAAAGCGGTGGTGCAGCAGCAGGGGAAGCAGCGACAGCGGAAGCAGCGGAAGCGACGGCAGCCGAAGGGGTGCGAACTCTCAGGTAAACTATGAAAGATGAAACGTAGAGTATCCAGCTGCAGCTCAGCTATCCTCAAGTTCTCCGATAATGGATATTCCGCTTTGTCGGTGCACGTTTCCCGTCGGCCAGACTGCCATGCCAAAACTCTGACAGGTGTACTGCCGTTCTGCGACCGTTGTGCAGCAGTGTCGAGGCAGCAAGCAAGAGCAGCAGTATCTATCTATCTAGTCTACCTAGCTAGCGTCTAAACTGTGGTTACTCGGGGTTCCCCTTTTTCTGTTTGATATTTTGTCTTTTTTTTCCGTGAACCGCCAGTATCAGATTGCCAATCCCCCCCCCGCCTATTTATTTTTCAGCACAAAGGTAAAGGGAAAGCTATCAGTCGTGACGCAACGTCCAGGGCTGGTGGCAGCGCTGGTGGAGGGGCGGCGAGCGGGATACTGGAAGATCTTCCGAGGGTGCCGGTGCTGCTACGTCTGCGTCGTGGGGCGGTGGAGGAGCTGGTACTAGGTCCTGCCAAGCTAAAGGTTGCACCAAGCGGCCTTCGTACGGCATGGAGGGCAGCAAGAAGCAGGAATACTGTGCCGAGCACAAAAAGGACGGGATGGTGGGCGTGAGGAACAAGTACCTATGCGCCCACCACGGTTGCACCAAGCATCCAACATTTGGCGTGGATGGCAGCAGGAAGAAGGAGTTCTGCGCCAAGCACAAGAGGGAAGGAATGGTGGATATCTTCACCAAGAGGTGCGTCCACCAAGGCTGCACCAACCATCCATCATTTGGCGTGGATGGCAGCAGGAAGAAGGAGTTGTGCGCCGAGCACAAGAGGGGTGGAATGGTGAACTTGGTCAACAAGAGGTGCGCCCACCAAGGCTGCACCACAAGGGCATCGTACGGCGTGAACGGCAGCAAGAAGACGGAGCTCTGCGCCAAGCACAAGGCAGACGGCATGGTGGATATCTCCCACAAGAGGTGCGCCCACCAAGGCTGCACCACAAGGGCGTCGTACGGCGTGGATGGCAGCAACAAGAGAGAGTTCTGTGCCGAGCACAAGCAAGACAGGATGGTGAACTTGTGGAGAACACGAGGAGCCGCGTCCAGCGAGCGAGTGCCCCAGCAGCCGCAGATGAAAGAAAATGTGCGGGTTCTCGACACGGTCGACCCCGCGGGAGCTCCTTCGGGCGCCGACGAGAGGGAATCAGCAGGGGGAGGGGCGGGCGCAGTTCGTGGGAGGTGGATGCCAGCATGGATCCGGTTGTTCAGATCTCTCCCCCGTAGACGTACGTACTGTTGTAGACAGTCGGCATGAGCAATAGGAATAAATGATCGTGGTCATCAATATTTTGTGTGCACGTATCAAAGGCTCGTCTATGGAAACGACCCTCGCGAGCAGCACGGGTGACTCCCTCTTGACGCAAGAATAGTTGGAGAACATGAGGAGGACAGTCAGCATCAAGGTGCTCGTTTTTAAAGATCTGAACGATGCACAGCGGGTGGAAAAGTTTGCACCGATCAGGGAGAAATGGACAGAGTTCGTGCAATAAATTGTGTCGAGGAATTGTCAGCCCTCAACACATGAACGGATATATTTCGGCGATTGAATCAAATGGGCCTCATGATCTACGTTGTGACTACATGGTGGTCATTTCTTGTGGAAGACATCTCCTCGGTTTCGCCATGAAGGCCGTGGAAACCATACGTTGCGATGCCTCCACGCTGCACAAATTGGCGCTAACCGAGTTCAGCGGAACATTTGACAAAGATAAAACCATCCACATGAAATTGTTGTGCGCCCGCGAGAGCAGTGATATCGGCAGGCAGCTACTTCGCGTTTGCGAGAACCTAGCGATTCGTCTCAAGTGTCCCAGCATCTATCTCGACGCTGTTCCAACGAACCGTGGCACGGCGCGGAAGTCGCATGCTCACCGGAGCATGACAACGAGGAAAACCAAATCGCAAATGCTACACATCTACTCTCCTGTCCTACTCACGAAGACGTCCGAATGGATTGATTATTAGTCTACCAGCTCCGCCTCTGCATCTTCTTCTTTCCGAGCAATAAATAAATGCAGTATCAATTTTCTTAGGCGCAAACGCTACACAACACATCTACTTTCCAGTCCTGCTCACGAAGACGTCCGGCTTGGTATACGAGAAAGAGTTTACCGGAACCGCGGGGAGGACGATAGGACTAAGAATGTGCCTGTTTCGGCGCCGGGGGTCGAAATCCTCTTCGCCCGCATGTGTATGGGAACGCTGCAAGTAAGTTCTTCTGTTCTTGTATTTTCTGCTCCTGGCAAGTGAAAAGTCTGCACATGCTACGCAATCCACTGCCTCAATAAGTTTAAAGAGGCGGCTGCGCCTGATACTTTTGTCGGTATGCAGTCTACATACCGTGTGTCATGGTCGACGTTCGACGAACCCGTCCGAACAACAGCAACAACAACAACAACAACAACAACAACAACAACAACAACAACAACAACAACAACAACAACAACAACAACAACAACAACAACAACAACAACGACGAGTGCCTAAGGGGAATGACAATGCGAGCTGATTCGTCCCCTAAAAACAGCACGAAAGGGAACCAACCACCCGCGCAACCGGTCGCCCCGGTGGTCTAGTGGTATCCTCGTAATCCGCTAGTTGCAGAGGTCGTGAGTCCGACTCTCCATGGGGAGAAAATTTACGAAATTTGCGGGTGAAAGCGAAATACAGCTAGAAAGCTCTCGTGAGTACTAAAATTCGACGTGAGCACCGTTGACGAGGGAAAGGGACGGCTGGACCCTTATCGCGATAAAATAAAATTCAGCACGCATCGCAGGAGGAAGGTGGGGCATGAAAAGAAATCAACAGAAGAGAAAGCCCTGGTGTTTACCCCCTCCCCTCCTGTGTGACCCTGGGAGGTTGTAGTTGGACGAAAAAATACACTGAAAAGTGTAGTACTCTACATTCATGCGCTGAATAATGTAGTACACGTCTAACCACGAAAAATGGGGGGACTGTCGCCATCATACATAGGACGAAAACACAACACACACACCCGGCGCCGTCTCTCTCTGAGATAAAAAATAGCGAGACCCAAGGAACCCTCCGGAAAATAGCGTGCACCGTTGTAACTGGTTGTCTGTTTTGAATGCCATTTTTTTTCGGGGAGGTGAGGGGGAGTTCGCTCCAAGGCGGTGTTCGCATAGGGTATGAAGTCTTGGGCAGGATGACCCGACAACAGGAACGACGGAAAACAAATGTCTTCGGCAGGATGACCCGACAACAGGAACGACGGAAAACAAATACAGTCTAGGTGCCGGTATAGTGCGGGTACGTGTAAAACCAAAGAACCCGCACTGTACCGACCCCGCGCACTATATAGTTTCGGGCTTGTATAGTGCGGGTTCACGCACTATACACGGTTCTCCAAAGCCTCAATAGTGCGTCTTCCCGCACTATTCGCCCTACAAACTAGATAACTAACGTACTGTAGGGGGTATGTGTAGCCATCAACAAGGCGAATGAATGAAGGTGGCACGGCGGTATACTGCACACAACAGGTGAGGCAATACACAAAATGGGACGATATTGGAAAGATGCCTGCGTTCGTTTGTGGGCAATACGAGACGACATGCATGTACTTACGCTGCGCCGCGGTGGGAAAGTATGTTACCACAATTGTGCACCGTACATTAGAGCAAAGGAGAGCATACTTGATTCATGACACGTAGAGTGTGCTCTGAATGCACATTCATCATGCCTCATCCGTGTTGTTGCTTCATTATATTTGCGGTGATTGCTGCTCCTGAACATTTTTCAAAGATTCAGAGAAAAACAGCTACATACACCCGCCAGAGCTAGGGAATGCAATGAGTCCGCACACGCGACCGAGGAGCACCTTTGAAACCAGCTTGCCGAGCCACTCCGAACTCCAAACTACACCCTCAACTGCGAAAAGCAAACGGGGAACACAAATAAATCCAAAACAAACAAGACCCTGCTTCTCACTTTCTTTAACAAAACCTCCCGCAACAACACAGCACGAAAAAAACGGCTACGGAAACGTGCAATCAATTAATTGCGACCCACATTTCACACGTTAACTGCATACTACGCATATACACCCCAATAAAAATCGCTCCCCACCTGACAAACAACAGTAAAATACGACATACACGTGATACATTTTCTACTCTACGAGAGGGGAGGGGAGGGGAGGGGAGGGCAGGGCAGGGGAGGGAATCCCGAGCGGTTGACATGAACATTTCCTCTCTGCCGCCCCCCCATCCCATGTTGACCTGGCGCTCTATATTTTTTTTGCGCTCTACTTTTTTTTTTTCTCCCATCATTGGACTCTGTCGTCTGCCCCTCTGGCCCCTATCCTCCACTTCTACCAGCTAGACGACCCAACCGGGGTTACATTGGAGGGGGGGTGAGACCCCCTCCTGCGGTTCCTGCCTGAGATAGTTTTATCGCGAGAAGGGTACAGCAATTCCTTCCCTCGCGACTTATGAAGTCGGTCAAGGTTACTGAAAACCAGCTTTCTTTGCAGAGCGTCGCTTCCAACGGAGACCAGGATTTGATTAGCGAGAAAAAACTCACTCTGCCGGGACTCGAACCCATGACCTGGTCCTTAGCAGGCTGCGAGGCTACCCACTAGACCACCGGAGTGATGTAGCTTGTAGTTGTACGAAAAAGTACACTGAAAAGTGTAGTACACGTCTCACCACGAAAAACGGGGGGACTGTCGCCATAATAAATAGGACGAAAACACACAACACACACACCCTCACATTCCTCGGGCGAAGGGGATGTGGCCACCTTGATCTATGTAACTCTTCCAAAGGCCCTGAAAAGGTTTTCCTTCCTCGGCCAAATCGTACGTCTCACGCCGCTGCTGCACTAAGAACAACCTTGCTGCTCTCGGAAGAGCATCTTCACCACCCCCCTTCCCCGAAGGCGTCTAGCCTCGTGCGGACCTACCCTTCAATTGACAACGCATGTTCTAATGCAGAAGATACACCATTCACAACCTGTCAAACCGGTTACCGTGCCCCCCCCCCCCCCCCCCCAAGGCTTCGCTAGCACCGGTCCATCGGGGTAACGGCGCTCGGCGCATGCCCCTTCACCATCTGATCGTAGGAGGGCGTCATCATCTGGTCGCGGGCGGGTGGAACGGGCGCGGTGGTAGTAGCGTTCTGCTGGAACTGGAACTCCTGGTGGGAGGGCGGCACCATCGATTGCCCCCCGACGTTGGAAGTGGATTTGCCCATCGACACCTGAGTCCACCGGCTATGGGGTCTCGGGCCGCACTCCAGCCAGCCCTGGCACCGACCGTAGTTCTTGCTGTCCCAGGCGAACAGGTGGCGTGCCACCTGCGACCGACGACGCCGTGCGGGACCGTTGAGTGCAGGTTGGAAATCACCCGATTTGTCGGGGTACGAAGAATCGGCTGTCTTTCTCCAGCAGTGGTGCGTGAAACTACATATTTATCTAATTTTCGAAGGAGAAGCGACGGTGAAAGTGTTTCTGAACGGACCCCACAAAATATGTTTGAAGCCGCCTCGAAAATGATTGCGTTGTGTCTGCACCCCAGTCCCATATTGCGGGACCCCCGTTCGCACACAGCTACGTTGTTCACATGCCGCCTCAGAGTACCTCAGTTGCAATCACCTGGGAAACGACGCAGCAGCCGCACCAGAAGGAGAGGCAGCAGTTCCCGTACTTGTTGATGGGTATCCCGTAGTGCCTGGCGACCCGAGAGCGGGACTTGGCGATGGCGTACGTCCCGCAGAGCATGATGAGGATGCCGCCGAAGCCGAAGACGCAGTCGATGAGGTAGGCCGCGACGACCGCGTAGAACACACCCTTGAAGAGACGTGC